AGGTGGTCTAAAGAGATAAATAAGGAATCTATAGTTGTTCATGTAAAATAATATATTTTTCAAAGAGAGCTGCATTATTTTTGGCTCTTCTGCTCCTCTATTCTAGTTCACCTGTGGAGATATCGGGGAGGATACCCGGCTCTCACTGAAGTCATGAGCAAACTCAGGCAGAATAAGGTAACGGGTGCTCGGATTAGTTTAATGGCAGGTGGCACCTCCAAAAGTATATCCACAGATCATTTATCCACCGATATGTTTCACCATCTTTATGTGACATTTTCCAGCTGTGTGGTGTGATTGTAATTTACTGTAGGTGGAATGATCTTTAAAACATATTAAATATGTATGTGCAGGTAATGGACCCGGTCCTGCCTTATCCATTAGGTATATTATTGTTTAATCTCATCAATGTTCTTATCTTAATTGATATTCTGCAACTAGTACCGTAGCTGACTTCGTGTCACTCTACCGCTGCTCCCTCAGCACAGTTTAATATTGTCAAAGATGTTTTTGTTGTTAGACTGAGGCAGATTCACAGAGTGATGCGTTTGCTGTTTGTCGTTACTGTAGGAGTTTACAGACTACCGGAAGGAGCGGGGGAAGATGCTGCTGTCTCGTAGGAACCAGCTGCTGCTGGAGTTCAGTTTCTGGAACGAGCCCGTCCCCCGCCCAGGGCCCAACATCTATGAGCTCCGATCGTACCAACTCAGGGTAACTCCAAAGGGAATGTACCATCTTCCTCCCATTATGCACAAATATGTGAAATATAATAACTTATTTTCCACTCCACCCTTCACATTCATATTTCAGCCCGGGACGATGATCGAGTGGGGAAATTACTGGTAAGTCATTTTTTTGTATAGCATAAGAAAGTCATCAAATTGGATTTGTTTTCAGAAAGTTAGTCTGAGAGCCCATAAGCTTTTTCACAAGTGTTTGCAGAACTACCATTATTACAGTATTTACCATTTAAAAAAGTTCCTCACTACTATTTTATTGGTTTCACAGATTGTAGCAGATGAATATCAGTCAACGGTACTTTTTGGGTAGACAATCTATGCATGACTCCTAAGCATGACAAGATATATCTCACAAAATGTGTAAATGTCAAGCATAATTTAACTTTGTACACTGTTTCTAATATATGTATCGGATATAATTTGATATTAATTTGCCTGCTAAGATAATAAAACAAACATGCTTTAAAAAAGGTTTTGAAAGAGGTTGTTACATGGAAGTTTGATTTTGTGATTTGGATATCTGAGAAGGTCAGATTCCTTTGAACTTTAAAGCAGGTTTCTAATTAAGGCTGGTGGTTAAATCAATACAACCCTTTAATTAAATGTTGTAAATGTTTTTGTATGTATCATAACTCTTTGGTGCTCTACAGGGCGCGTGCCATTGAGTTTCGCCAGCAGAACCAAGAGGCGGTGGGAGGCTTTTTCTCACAGATTGGAAGGCTGTACACAGTTCACCACTTATGGGGTGAGCATAATTCAGAGTTTAGGTACCAAGTTTGCATTTGAAAGACATTTATAAATGCATCACCGTATTACAAATGATTGCAAAATGTCTTTTTATTATACAAGAGCTTAGCAAGGGGGAGAAGATGGATGGATGGATGGATGGAAGAGCTTAGTGCTTAGTTTTGATGTCCCCTAGATATTTTTCCACCAAGTGTTTGTGTTACTTGTCAGGAAATGTACATTATGTATTATATACATTATCTCCAATCCTCATCTTTCAGCTTACAAAGACCTTCAGTCCAGAGAAAACACCAGGAACTTGGCCTGGCAGCATGACGGCTGGGATGAGGTTGTTTATTACACAGGTACATCTTAGTTTGCTGTCTTACCTCTCCTACCTTAACCTCTGTGTAGCGCTACATATTTTTACATTGTATATCCATGAAAAGAAGACACAGGAAAAGTATGGCAGTAGGTCAGATGAAAGAAGATATTATTAAACATGGTGATGCTTCCTTTCATCATATGGATCCAAAAAGGTGCTTCAACAAGGATAGGTTATTCAAGGATAGGTGATGCTTTACATGGAAAGAGAATATTATAAAGAAAAGAAAAAACAAGAACTTATTATTGTAAACATTGTGTTTGTTAAAGTAGGTGGTCTTCCAGCCTTACTCAACACAGGGTTTTAGTAAGATTCCATTGAAAAAAACGAACAAATGCGTGAAATATGAACCAAGTTAAATAAAATGGTTTGATGAAGTTACCACAGTGCATTTAAACAGATTGTCCACTTTCCTACGTAATTGTGTTCCTCTCGGTTACTTTACACAATACTGCATGACAAATAAATCTGTTTCTTCACACTTTACAGTCCCTCTTATTCAAAACATGGAGTCTAGAATAATGATTCCCATGAAGAATTCTCCCTTGAAGTGAGCACAGACGCCGGGGGAGCCTCTCTACAGTCACTGAGTCGCACTTTGAAGAGTGTGACCAACCATCAGCTGCTGACTGCATAACATCAACGTGTTGTTTCTTTTTCTTCTTTGTTTCGTTACTGTACTTTTCTGTGTGGGCCTAGATGTCTTAATTCTGATCCATTATAGTGCTTTTTGTAGACCAAAACTAATTGTACATGCCCCTCCTCTTCACTGTCTCTATTTGTTGTAGGGTCAGATTGTAAGAGCCTTATTTTGACATGATGTTATATAATCGTCACTGTCTATGTGATACCAAGAAGAGATTAAACATTTAGCAGTTCTAGTGTTGGTCACACGGGCTGAGAATGGCAGACGGTCTTTCAGGAAAATGATACCCAAGCCTAATTGCACTGGTATTAATAACCATTCAAACAAAACTGCCTCCAGTTTCACACAACACAAACATTGCATTGACACCCCAATATTAATATTAATTCGGCAAGCTTCTTATGTGTTACAGGTGAAGGTCTGTTTTTTAGGAGCATGATATTTATAAATCAGTGTTCAAGAATGGAGGATGATGAGATAGAGACCTTTACTGCTATATTAAGGCTACCGTTTATATTCAGTAAAAGTACAACACCTATTTGGAAAAGTCACATAATGTTTACATGGCTTTGATGCAGCCAACTGAATATGTTGTGTACCAATTGTTTGTTTCAAAAATAACTTGGCCCAGTTTGTGTCTCCTTTGTTAAACTGACCACATCTCCTTCTGTTCTAACTTTAACATCAGGACACTTCTGCCTCTTCCAAGATGATTCAATAATGAGAACAGGTTTTGATTTGTGCGTAACTAATCATGTATGATCAAATTGCTGTCCACTGACTGGTCTAAACTAATTAATGCCACCAGGGGGACTGTGTGCTCTAACTGAGATTAATGTTGTTTTTTTAAATGGTCAGATTTGAAGTCTCCAGCTTGGTCAATACTGTATTTGTAAATTAAGTGGGTTTTATGAACACATCTGATGTTGATGAACAGACAGAGGAAATAAGTAAAACCCAACGTGGTAAATGTGAATTTCAGTGATTTTATGAGATTAGTTGTACATAATGAATTAAAATTCTGATGAAAATTGACAAAAAAATACGTGGTCTCCTTTTATCGTGTATTTTTTAAATGATAGTAAACATTACCATAATAAGACAGTCGCTAATGTGACGTAATCCGCGCGTCGTCTTGGGTGTGACTTATGTTGCCTTCAGTGTAAATCGGACATCTCTAAAGCACACAATAAGCAGCTGCGAATAAGTGATTGATCAGTGCGTAAAATGCTGTTTTCCAGTTGATTATAATTAAAGATGGCATTTTGCCTCCTCAGGAACAGTTAAGTGATAGGTTGTAAAACAATTGTAGTCTTATTTATAAGAGACAACAGTTGCTGCTTTAGCTTTCTTAGTTATAGTTGGAATATATAAATATACAACCTGTACGCACAAACAAAGAACAAACACTACAGAAATGTTAACCATGCAAACCTTTACATACCTCAATCATTACAGACACTTGTATTCCTATCATACAATAACAGTCACATGGATATAATCAGCACAGATAATATATTAATTAAAATCTGACAATGAAGATATATTCTGCCACTTCATAATCTTCTTTTGTGACCAGATAACATTGTAATCTACTTTATCTTTTACCCCTCTTTCAAATGATCAAATACCTTTTTTTTATAGTATGTTTTTTTTTACACTGTACTGTCTTTCTTTTCACCTATGATTATTTTCAGTGGTGTAAAGTAGCTAAATAGATTTACTCAAGTACTGTTCTTTGGATACTTTCAGTTGTCTGCTACTCTGTACGTTCTACCCATAGACTGTATATATAGCCTACCCCACAATTCAGAGGTAAATCATGTACTTTTACTCCACTACATGTATTTGATACATTTAGTTACTTTGCAGATTTGGATTAATAATGTGAAATATAATCAACCCTTAAATAAAACTGTAGTTACACCTGAGTAAATTCACAAGCTCTGCAGTATACAAAGGAATTACAACTAGCTTCACCTTTACCAGCTTTGATAACACTTTAATGCATCAATAATTATAATCAAAACATATACTTTATATTATTCTGAAGTGGGCCAATCTGCATAATGAGCACTTGAGAATATTTTGATGCTAATACTTTTGTACTTTCACTTGATTAACATTTTGAATGCAGGAATTTAGCTGTTTTATATTTTTGTATATTTGATGCCAATACTATCTCCTTTTACGTGAGTAAAACACACTGTTGTAAATATATATAATATGTATATGACCCAATATGTATGTTCATTTTCATTTTCAATCATTTCTTACTTCATAGTTTATATGATCCAATATGTATATGCTAATTTTTCTTCATTTCTTATTTCATCATTTGTATTGTTATCTTTATTTGTATTAACCTGTGTGAATCTGTTCTGTCCTGTGTTTCATCCTTACCCTGTTGCTGTCAGAACCACTGAATTTCCCCACGGGGATTAATAAAGGTCCATCTTATTTTAGTAACATGAAGGAGGAGTTTGAAGTTTCCGAGCCTTGAGATGTACCTAAAGGCACCACGAGAACACGTGCTGGAGCCTTCTGGAAGCCGACGCTCCTTTCTTCAGCGCCCGACAAGTGCGAACTCCCTGCCAGCGCTACTTTTTACTTTGACTCCGCTGGTTGAGCTGCTTCGCCATGTCTGCCGTTAAATCTCTGAACCCGAAAGCGGAGGTGGCCCGGGCCCAGGCCGCACTGGCGGTTAACATCAGTGCCGCCCGGGGGCTCCAGGATGTGCTGAAAAGTAACCTGGGACCGAAGGGGACCATGAAAATGTGAGTGGAGCTCTTTGTGCAGCATGCGGGCTAAGCTAACAATGCTAACTTAGCTAATGTTAGCTACAATTCACCGGCCGATTGTCTGCACATGTGCTACTGAAATCACAAGATTATGAATGTATTTAAGCATTGGAAAGCCCCCTCTTTGTACCACTGTGTTGTTATCCGCTAAGTAAATACATGTGATCAATTTTAGGCCCACACAAGCTACATGGATAACGGATTTTAGCGGCGCACGTTGCCCTGCCCAGTCATCGTCACAATCCGTTTTGACAACCACCAAGCTAGCATTAGCATATTAGCAAAGCCGGTTATCTGAGATCGTCAAAATAAACCTAGTCTATGACTCTTAAATCACAAACTGTCTGTAGACTTAACTTTGGCGTTGACTAGTTGGATTTCTAAGATGAATTAATGACTTCACAGTTCTGTTACTTAACGGTAGTACGATTTCAGGATCAGCAGCATTATTTCAGGAAGTTCAGGCTGCAGCTTCTGCGTCCGTTAGTTTGTGAACATACATGGTATTTTCTGACTGAAACATGCACGCAGGGCTGCCTGAAAATACATCCAAGATGAAACTGATGAATTGTATTAATTGCACAGAGAACACCCCAGGATGCTATTGTAGCTCCCCTGGTCTCATGTTTCTGTGCCACAGTAAATCTGATCTGTACCTCTGCATTGGGAGAGACCCCATCTCACCTACATGCATCAACGGATCAGAATATAACTTAATATTACTGAACTGCTAGTCCAAAAAGTTTAAGTTTGTATAAATGTGGCCGTGGATTGTTCCGCAACAGCTTTTGCTTTGTTAACATTAACCCTTTCCTGTCTTCGCTACGCAGGTTGGTGTCTGGCGCAGGAGACATAAAGCTGACCAAAGACGGAAATGTCTTGTTACACGAGATGGTAAGTAAATGTTAAACTGGATTACATTTACCAACCCTGTCCCACTGTGTTGTTCCTTATTGGGCTTTCTTCTTCATTGTTGGGAGTGACCACACCCCTAACTCATGTGTCCCATATCTGCCTGTGTCCAAGTCCCATGATCGCATTAAACAATAATAAACTGTAACATTTATGATTTAATATTGCATCCAGATTACATTCTTTGCCTGTTAATTGAGGCACAAAATGAATAAAGGATATATTGTTTGGAAAAAAATATTACCCCTCATTCGTCAAATATCCTCTATAATGAAAGTAAGCATTGGTTGCATCAGCCCTGTTGCCGTGTGAAAGAGTTTTGCATGATGTCTTACGTTTTATATTTTGCAGCAAATTCAGCACCCGACAGCATCCCTCATTGCTAAAGTTGCCACAGCCCAGGACGACATCACAGGAGACGGGACCACCTCAAATGTCCTCATCATCGGCGAGATGCTGAAGCAGGCTGACATGTACGTGTCAGAGGTGAGAGATGGCCGTTTGTCATTTACAGGGTTCGTACGGGTGCTGGAAATCCTTGAAAATGCTTGAAATTGTACGAGGTGTTTTCAAGGTTTGAAAAGTGCTTGGATTTGGGGTAAAGTGCTTGAAATTGTAAATGCTTTACTTCGCTTTTTAGATTAAAAGAAAAATAAAGAAGACGGAGCGCGCTTAATTGCTTCGCTTTTACATAAAACAGCTCCGCTGCGGCCTTCCCGCGCTATGCGCGCGACCTGCAAGTGTTTGTGTTACGTGTGACCTGGGCATTCTGATGAGAGTGATAGATGACTGTGTGCCAGGAGGTTGCAGTTTCAACGAGCGTTGGCTAGCAGAAGACAACTACAAGCCATGGCTAAGACGAGGGTCAAGCCCACGAGTAGCCTCCTGCAAAAATAACGATGCGAGGGTCTGCGCTGACGAGCCACATGACAGGTACGCCGTAGTAGAGCATTTTAGATCAGGCTAACGTTGCATGTTATGTTTGTTTAAGCTAACGTTAGCGAGCTGAATAGCAAACTCCATGAGGGATAATAATAATTGCAGGGGACAATCATTTCAGAGGAGCGTACCTATGTTATGTGCGTTACAGTCGCCATCGTGTGGTGTTCAGAGGATGAAGCACTCACGGCATTTCGTGTTATAGTCACGAAATATAATCTATTGATTCGACACAGAGCGATTTTGAAAGCAATGTATTTCTACTGGTAGTATGTTTCGTGCCTAAACCAAATGTGACTTGCTCTCTCGAAATCAGTCACATTGACCCGAAGACACATTTTCGTTTGTATTACTGGTCTGGGGGAAGCTCGCCAGTGTGTGTGTGTATTTTTGTGTTTGTTTCCCAGGAAAACACTCACAAGAAACACCAGCTGTTGTTATGCCTGCTGTGACGTTACATTAGTCCGTTCTCTGCTTGTAATTATGCCGAAGCTTCAAAGTTGTATTTATCATCTGAATTTGCCGAAACAAGTTTAATATTCTGAAAGCCAAGACTTTGTTTATTTGAAAACAGATGAAAACAAACTGTCTTTATATAAAATTGAAGTATTATACAAGTAAAACTACATGTTGCTTTAATCCCATGTAATTGTAGAATGAACACAGTCTTCCTTTGAAGATGTATAAGTCAGGTGTCTTGAGTAGCATTACCTACAAATCATTGTACTTTTGTAAATATTATTTTCCACTTGTTACCATTGTGTGTCTATTTTTATGCAGCTCTGCATGATTTTGTGGCTACAATTCAGACTAATACGCTACCAGAGGTGGAATAAGTACTCAGGTATTGTACTTGAGTAAAAGTATAAGTACTCAGATCTTGTAGTGAAATTATAAGTACTCAGATCTTGTACTTAGCAAAAGTAGAAGTACCAGAGTGTAGGAATACTCTGTCACAGTAAAAGTCCTGCATTCAAAATGTTCCTCAAGTGAAAGTAGAAAAGTATTCTCATCCAAATATAGTTAGAGTAGCGACAGTAAAAGTAGTCATTGTGCAGAGTGGTCCATTTCAGAATAATATATATGATATGTTTTATAATGATTGATCATGAAAGTGTTCTCAAAGCTGGTAAAGGTGCAGTGAGTTTGAATGACTTTGTATACTGCAGGGTAGCTTGTGGATTTACTCCAGGTGGAACTAAAGTCTGATTCAACACTTGATTATATTTATATATATATATATATATAGTTTTCTTTTCTTTAATTGTTCATCCTCGTGTAGAAGGCTATCACGAAACACACATTTGGTTGTTTATAGCATAAAGAACATCTGATTTAATGTGAGGTAGGGAAATAATCATTTGAGTAGAAGTATGTGTATATAAATATGTAATTTACAACAGCTGTAAGATGCTTGAAAATGCACCTTGAAAAGTGCTTGAATTTGACTTTGGAAAAGGTGTAAGAACCCTGCATTTAAAAGTTCTAAATTCAATGTCCCTGTCTGACACTTCTGAGAATGTGCACTTTTTTAAGCCTATATTGATGTCATGTCACTATCCAGATACGTTTTTTCATACCATAACTTAATTGATTTTATGCTTCAGGGTCTTCATCCTAGAATCATTGCTGAGGGCTTTGAGTCGGCGAAAGAGAAAGCCTTGGCTCTTCTGGAGGACTTGAAGGTGACAAAGGAAATGGACAGAGAGACCCTCATCCACGTAGCTCGCACCTCCCTCAGGACCAAGGTCTACGCAGAGCTGGCCGACCTGCTCACTGAGGTGAGACTCGAGAAGCTGGGGCTCTGTGGAGAGCTGACGGCCAGGATTTGATCCTACGGCACCAAACTTATTGTTTTTCTTTGTTATTGATTTAGTTGACATGCTCACCCTTTGGGCTGTGACATGTCAAATAATGGTAAATGTCAACCATTAGCTACCACAGCCCAAAGGGATGTCAGTCAAACAACCACTATGGTCGTGAGCTGGTTGTTATTTTCCGTCATCATTGCTTCATCTGTTTGTGTGACAGGGCTGCTATATCAAACGATACATGCACATTGTTTTATTAGAAATCAAGTAATCCATCGATTGTTTCATCAAGTTCGGATGAGCATTACTATACCCTATTAAAGAGCAATAGTGTAAAAAGATCTACATTTGTATTACATACAATTTACAATCCAACACATTTAGGCCGTTATGTGTGCCTTTGGAAAAAAAAACATTTTCTAAATTAAATCATTTTATATCACTTAGAAATAGGTAAATTCCTTGTAAGATAAATGTCCTGGAACATTAAGAGGGGTGGGGTTATTTAAACAAAGCATCAATGAAGACAAGAATGAGAAGAATTTGCAACACCAATTTTAATAATCATAAGTCGCTTTGATGCCAGAGTACTTTTCCCAGTATAGTTCCGAAAATGTGCGTTCACACCAAAGAAGTCCGGAACTAGAACTTAGTTCATGAGAACCTTTTCACCCCCTTTAGTCTCTGCTAGAGAGCAGGTACTTTCATGGGAGAAAAAGGTTCCCATTTCTGATTGGCTGAGCGAATTGCAAACCACGCCCCGTAAGACTCTGAAAAGTTTTGTGAAGCCACCATTGTATTTGCTGGAATTAGCATTATTAGCATTAGCCCAGCGCACCAACGGAGAGAGACTAACTTATGGCAACACAAAAGAAAACATGGGAGATGAGGAGGTGTCGGCGTTCTGGCGATTTACTCGGAAGCCAGTCCCCAACTCCGGGGACTTCGGGTGGCAGTATACGCCGTGAAGTTGTTTGTGGCCTGCCAGTAAACCCAAAGCAGAAGAAGAAGTGACGTCAGCGGCTTCATTTGCCTAACCCTCCCTCAAGGACTTATTCCGGTGTGAACGCGATCTACTCTTTAGTTCATCAGAACTAAAGAGTTCTGATGAACTAAGGACGGCAAAGTACTTGGTGTGAAAGCGCCTAATAACACAAGCTCCCTGTGTGATGTGTTTCTCTGCAGGCTGTGGTCGATGCTGTGCTGGCCATCTCCAAACCTAATGAGCCCATCGACCTGTACATGGTGGAAATCATGGAGATGAAGCACAAGACCGACTGCGACACACAGTGAGTTTGAACACTTGAGGATACAGAGAATACTCTTTACTGATGGTAGTGTGTAGTGCTCCCATATACTTAAAGGCTCTTGCTTATTCTTCTCTCTCAGGCTGATCAGAGGTTTGGTGTTGGACCACGGAGCCAGACACCCAGACATGAAGAAGAGGGTGGAGGATGCCTACATTCTGACCTGCAACCTCTCTCTGGAGTACGAAAAGACAGAAGTCAACTCCGGTTTCTTCTACAAGAGCGCCGGGGAGAGGGAGAAGCTCGTGGCTGCAGAGAGGAAGTTCATCGAGGATCGCGTGCAGAAAATAATCAGCTTCAAGAACAAAGTCTGTCCCAATGGAGAGAAGGGGTTCGTCGTCATTAACCAGAAGGTATGCTCAAAGCTTTACATTTTTATAAAAACACAATGGATTTGATAAATAAAGGCAGAATGGAACCGTTATGAATTGCACAGAGAACACCCCAGGATGCTATCGTAGCTCCCCTGGTCTCTTGTTTCTGTGCCACAGTAAATCTGATCTGTACCTCTGCATTGGGAGAGACCGCTCCTCACCTACATGCATCAACAGATCAGAATATCACTCACTACCAAATGAACATTGATTTATTTCTCTAGCCGATGATAAATATAAGTTTCCTGTTTTCTCTGTGTTGTGCAGGGCATCGACCCGTTCTCCCTGGACACCCTCGCCAAGGAAGGCATCGTGGCCCTGCGCCGGGCGAAGAGAAGGAACATGGAGAGGTGAGACCGTAACACATCTACCTGTTAAATAGAAGTGGCCTCATCTTCACAATGCAAATGGTTGCTCTGATTTAAGGAGGCAAAAGAGACTAGCTTTGAGACTAGCTTTGCTCAACACCCCCAGATTTAAATATGTCTGATTTGCACAGATTTTCCCTGGTTTCAAAAGGAATAAAGTGAAATTCCTGGATAGAAACTGCCATCATCACATAGCGCCTGCTCCATCAACAGTCGTTCTTTGCTTGGCCATAAGGGAGCGCCCTTTAGCTATCATGGGGATAAGAATGCTTCATTATAATCAGTCTGATTTGCTTTTATGTCTTATCTGTCATCAAATATATGAGATTTGTTTTTTGGTATGGCCTTTCCTGCTAGTATTATATCAATTGCTTTTGATTCTGAGACGAACCATCTCTACGTTTTCTGGGTTGTTAAAAAATGTTAATCAACCCATTATTTTCTTTCATTATTGATTTAAGCCAATTGGCTTCTAGAGAAGTGGTTTTGTCTGTATATGCAATACAAAGGTGAAGACTACAACCCCAGCTTTTCAAAGCCCACGTCCACAATCCAAGAATATCCTGTTAATGAGATATAAAAGCATCATTGATTTTCAAAATAGCTGACTTTGTAAAGTCATCATACTTTGATTTGGCACTGGTGATGTTTGTCATCATCATTGACATCCGAGGGCTGAGTTAAACATACAGTCTGTGTTTCCCTCTGCAGGCTGACCCTCGCTTGCGGTGGCATTGCCATGAATTCAATTGAGGACCTCACACCCGAGTGCTTGGGACACGCTGGGTTGGTTTATGAACACACACTGGTGAGTACCTATCAGTGTTTTTCTGGGTGTGATATTTTAAGATCTACTTTTCGGTCATAGGATATTGAGGCAGAGTTGTTAATCTGCCCCTATCCTGTTTGCAGGGAGAGGAGAAGTACACATTCATCGAGGACTGTAGCAACCCCCGCTCCGTCACCCTGCTGGTGAAGGGACCCAACAAACACACCCTCACACAGATCAAAGATGCTGTCAGGGATGGTCTGCGGGCCGTCAAGAACGCCATTGAAGATGGTAAGACCATCCAAAATGTTACCATGTGTCTTTTATCAGAGTTACTGTGTGTTCGATGTTCCTAATTTAAATCAAATGTATAGTTGGCAATTCAATTCAAAACCTTTATTTATCCAGGTAAAATCCCATTGAGATCAATGATCTCTTTTTCAAGGGAGACCTGCAGCAGTAGGTTCCACAAGAAGACATAAACAACAGAACAACAAAAGGACATCATACAGCAAAATGTACAGGGATTACAATTTACATATTTAACCACAAGTACAGGTACCAACAGCATCTGATTTTGTAGCATCCAACCGAGCTTTAAAAACATGTAGTGGTACTAGCTTGGTAATTTTCCATTCTTTTTGCAGACTGTTCCATGTTAGTGGAGCTGCACATCTAAAAGCTTTCTTCCCTAAGACAGTCCTAGCACTTGGCACATTTAATAAAACCACAGCATGCGATCTCAGGCAATAAGTACTTTCAATTCGCAGAGAGATCAGGGAGCAGATATAAGATGGTAGTTTATCCAACATGGCTTTGTAAATGAAAAAGTGCCAGTGACTGAGCCTCCGTACAGTAAGTGATGGCATAACCGCCTTGGTATACAGGGTACAGTGATGCGTAACTGCTTTACAATTTGTCAAAAATCTCAGTGCACTGTGATACGCAGCATCTAACTTGCTCAGGTAATGGGCAGGTGCATTCATATATAACAAATCACCATAGTCCAGCACAGGTAAAAAGGTCACAGTGACTAGCCTTTTCCTGGCCTCAAGCGAGAAACAGGACTTATTTCTGTAAAAGAAACCTAGTCTAACCCTCAGCTTTTTAAGCAGGTTATTGACATGAAGTTTAAAAGTGAGACAGTCATCAAGCCAGATACCCAAGTATTTGTAACAGGTAACCACTTCAAGTTGTATTTCTTGCGTAGTTACAATATCCAAAGCAGTCTCTGGTGTATTTTTAGCTTTAGCTTTCGAAAAGTGCATTACCTTGGTTTTATCCACATTTAAAAGAAGCTTAAGCTCAGAGAGCTGAGTCTGAATAATGTTAAAAACAGCCTGTAATTTAACGACAGCCTCGTTAATCGAGGGACCTGCACAGTACATAACGGTATCGTCCGCATTAAAAATGTAAGGTTGCTCCTTCGACATTTTCACCTAAACTATTAATATAGATAGAGAATAATAGTCTTCTGCAGATTAGGATTTCCCCACATTGTTGAACCAGTTTAATGTTTTTTCAGACATAGAGCAATGTTTTAACCTTTAAAATGTTATACCTTTTTTAAAAATGTAATTCAATGAGTTAGAAAATAAAAATGAAGTTTATCTTTATGTAAAATGCATTTGGTGTCCTCTGCACAGCGAACACGCGGGGACGCTAACATGGCTCTCCCTGGCTCTCATGTCTGTGCTACAGTGACTCTGAACTGTTCCTCTGCATTAGGAGCGTTTCTGTCTCTCCTACATGTATTAACTGATCAGAACAAACTCCTCTCTTTGGCTCTGAGTGCAACATTGTTTTATGCCTTATTAAGCCAAGGAATGTATACTTGTGTTTTCTAAGTCTCTTCTTTCCCTCTGTGTTCCTTCAGGTTGCGTGGTGCCTGGCGCCGGTGCTTTCGAGGTGGCTGTGGCCGACGGTCTGGTGAAACACAAGCCCAACGTGAAGGGCAGAGCCCAGCTGGGAGTCCAGGCATTTGCAGATGCTCTCCTAGTCATCCCCAAGGTAAAAGATTCTACTTTCTTCCAAGGCTTTAAGTGTTTCCATATGATTTCTTCTCCTTCTAAAGCTACACATTAGGCATTGCAATCTGTTAGTATTCTTACTGTATCGATCTCTGTATTTTAATTGTGCGTCTTCCTTGTAGGTTTTGGCCGTGAACTCTGGCTACGACCCCCAGGAAACCCTCCTGAAGCTGCAGACAGAGTACAAAGAGTCTGGGCAGTGTGTTGGAGTGGACCTCAGCACAGGTGAGAACCACAGCATGCTATCGACAGAATTAAAGTGTTATTGTTGTCGCTTATCACAGAACAGATACACTTCCATTCTATTAAATGTATGAATCCACACTGCCTTTGTGAGTTGCATGTCTAGTATTGTCTACAAGATCCCCTGTTGTTTTTTACACCTTAAATCTATTGTTGTCCCGTTAAGTGAAGTGTAATCTGCACACGGCTGTTCTGACAACACAAACATTTTGCTTTGTATGTTTGTGGAACTCATTAACTTTCTTACCAATGAGTAATTGAGGCTTCCAGTCTTTCTAGTAAAGGATTCTCGTTCGTCTTAGTATTACTATGGATACGGTACGAGGCAAACACTTCTATTAGTTGCTTCACTTCCAGACTGCACATTTGAATAAGTCTTGATGTTATGGTTGCCAGCCACAGAATGTTCCTGTTGCTAAGCCCCTAAATACTCGGTTGGGTCATATTGCACATATATTTCAAGCTTATTGTTTTGAACTTGATATCTGTTGTTCTTCAGGGGAACCCATGGTGGCAGGAGAAGCAGGCGTTTGGGATAATTACAGTGTAAAGAAACAGCTTCTCCATTCATGGTGAGTAACATATTTCTAAAGTGTACAAGACGGATTGAATATTTGGAATGATCCTCATCGATCTCTTACGTGACGTTTCGTTCCTTTACAGCACGGTCATTGCCAGCAACATCCTGCTGGTGGATGAGATCATGAGAGCTGGAATGTCTTCTCTGAAAGGTTAAAGGTCATCAGAAGAAGCCGCAGCTGTTGTCATACTCGGAGGGATAGTTGTTTACCTGACGGTTCAACGTGTTCCCGCTATAGGAACTTTGAAACCCCCCCCCCCCCCAGTCAGATGGACGGCCCACTGTACTCCCACGGCCTCCGTCACAGCGGCAGTCAGAAACCATTGTTATGCTTGTCACAGGTTTTTTTTTCATGGATTTGTCGACGCCTCCCTTTGGTTTATTTATGAGATTTTGTTAAAAGCACTGACTCCTGCCACTCGGTTCTGTTTCTACCCATTAAAGATTTTCATGGCTCTTGAAAGATGTGGTTGTTGTTTGTCGTGAAGAGTAATTGTATCCATGCAATGAAATTGACTTCAGAGAGTGAGAATGTGCTCAAACTCAAAAATAAACTTTTCTGATGTAATGAGCTATACAAATAGTGGCACAATAACATATTGAAATGCAATGTCCAACTTGAAATCATTTCCATTGTTTGCTACTTGAACTCAAGCATTTTCTGCTATTTCTTTTTTGAATCTTTTAAATGAACATTATTTTACATTGAGTGTCACTAAAATCAAAGCTTTCCAACAATGTAGTGAAACCTAACTTCTCTACCAGTTGCATCAAATTCTTCTCACCCGAATGCATCAGAAATCACTCCTATTCGATAAGGGGCATTTACTTTCCACTGCACATAGCATATATTTACAGTATGATGATCATTCAGAGTCAATTAGACTCAGATTGTAGGAAATGTAGGAAAAACTTAGATTGCATGTTCGTCAATATGAAACTATTCAAATAGTCCAAGCTCAGGTGTTAAATAGTCGACTTTGTATTAGTATCAACATTCAAAAATTACTTTATTTCAGGTAAAGATTTTTTGTAATTTAATCTTCGTTTATATTTCAAATGAACCATGAATACAATTAACAGCAGATGTTTCCTTTATGGGTCATTCCAGAATTGGAGGACAATTTACACACCAACATTTTTGAAAAATGAACCTTTTATTTTATAATAATTTTCATAAAATTCTAATGCAAGAAAGATAACTTTAAAATTAATATGCTTTATTCTGATAATATGAGTAACAGGGTTGAGTGGGTTAGAGTGCCACACTCTTTTAAGACTGAAAAGATTGTTAAAATATGAAAAATAAAAGAGACGACTTAGTTTTGGTCTACCCATGGCACTAGCACATTGTCATCTGATTTACAGTTTTTTCACTTCCTCTGCCAATCTAAAAAGGTTTGGGTAACAGGGTTGAACCTTTATATATACAGTCTATGGGTTGAACGCATGTTGAGGGACACACCTTCTGTGCAAAAATACTGTTATTTAAAATATGTTTATGATTTAATAAATTGATTTGACCATTACAAGAGTCATATATCAATAGAATAATACCAAAAAAAGTCAATAAAATCCCTATTTTAAATGTTATAGTTGACATGCAAGTTGGTCACCAAGAAGCGGGGACAAGAGAAAAATGCCATTTTAGGGGATGTTCGAGAGCTATTTGATCATTTAAATAATATTTTGAAACCACTTTTTCTACAACTTGATATACATTTGGTCTCAAGACAAGTATGTTTAACACAACAAGTGCATGTTTTAGCTTTTTGGGCATGGATTATTAGATTTTTTTATATGGGGGACATGAAATGTCCTCCAATTCTGGAATGACCCTTATATAACAAGTGTGTAAAATACAGTATAATGTCACTTCAGTTACAAGTGAAATAACAAATAATATATCACTATTCGTGGCTTTAGGGGTTCCGTTGATACCGTTAATTCCTCTAAAAACATTCATGATTCATGACAGGGAAAAGTAATACAAAACAAAATGAACTCTTGTGATTTGAGATTTTATAAAACGGCGGAACTTTTTATTTCCCACGGAACCTGTGTATCGTTGAACCCATTTCCGGTGCGACGTGGAAATGTGTCCGACAGAAATTTAACCATTATATCGAAGTTTGAGAAGTTCTGCTGCTTGTTTACTCTTTTAAACTCGTATCTGTATAAAACGCTATGTATATGCTTAATGGTAAATCACTGTAAGGTAAAACTAGCTTGTCAAAATGAACGCCAAAGTATTATTCGTCATATCTGCGGTCTTTTCACTGGCAGCTGCGGGTAAGAAATCACATTTCTGAACAAACTAAAACATAAATGATATTAATATTGAATCAGCACAATGGACATGTTTCCTCCCGACATACAGCAGCGGGTGAGATGGTGAATATATCCAAAGGAAAGATGGTCATGGGAACCAGTGCAGCTGATGGGAGAGATGGAGAGGCGCCCGTCAAGGAGGTTAAAGTGAAGCCCTTTAAAATGGACAAATACCCGGTGACAAATACTGATTTCAGGTAAGACAACTTGAAATATTATATCAAGGTGTCCTATAATCAGTGTTGGAAGAAGTACTCAAATACTTTAATAAAGTGTACAAATACTATGGCCTTACAAGTAAAAGTCCTGATTGCAAAGCATCAAAATATACTTAAAATTAACTAAAAGTACTCATTCTGCAAAATGTCCCATTTCTGAATAATATAGTACGTAAGTATTATCAGCTAAGTGTACTTCAAGTATCAAAGTAAAAGTACTTGTTATGCACGACGGATCTTTTGAAAGTGTTATATTATTATGGTTATTATATCCATGTAAGAGCATTTTAGTGTTGTAGTTTGTCAACGTGGACCAAATGAAGGTACTATAAATAATGTGTAGATAGATATAGCAGTACAGTACTGCATTATACCACATCAGTTTATCATTTGTTTTTATATGTACAGAGCAACTAGTAACTGAGTGTTATAATAAATGTAGTGGAGTAAAAAGTACAATGTTTGCCTCTAAAATGTAGCAGAGCAGAAGTATAAAGTAGCATTGAAGGAAAACACTCAAGTAAAGTACAACTATGTCAAATAAGTACCTAAGTACAATACTTGAATACATGTACTTAGTAATTTTCGACCACAGCTCAGAATGAGTTAAAAATAATAAATCAAAGCCACTGACTTGGCCTTCATTCCCCACAGAGACTTTGTGAGAGCACAGAAGTACAAAACTGAAGCCGAGACGTTTGGTTGGAGTTTTGTGTTTCAAGACTTTGTGTCAGAAGAGCTGAAGAGCAAAGTCACACAGAAGATTGAGGTACTCGGATTTTGGAGTAAATTAAAACATCATTTTTAGTCTGACATGAACTGACCATCATTTAAAAATGAAGTTGATGTATATCTTTCCTTCCCATCCAGTCTGCTCCTTGGTGGCTGCCTATTGATCGGGTGTTTTGGAGACAGGTGAGGTGACGAATGAAACCTTATCCTTCCTTTGTATTTCAGTATTTATGCTAGAGTGCCTTCATTGTCTGCCTTTCAAGCCTTTGACCCCCCCACTGTTCAGCCTGCAGGACCTGGTTCAGGCATTCGGGAGCGTCTGAGCTTCCCTGTGGTCCAGGTGAGCTGGAACGATGCTCAGGCGTTCTGCCGCTGGAAGGGCAAGAGACTCCCTACTGAGGAGGAGTGGGAGTGGGCTGCACGAGGGGGGCTGCAAGGTAAACTCAGAGACAAGAAGAAATATTATACATGCCACCATATGTTTTTCTACAAGGGCTGTGTAGTCACGAGAATCTGCCAATGCGATACGTATCATGATACGTTGTTATGATTCAATATATAGTATTGCTTTACCGTCAGCGTGACCAATAAGTGGCCATGTCATCCTTTAATATAAGGACAATTACCACAGTATTAAAAACTAACCATCATATGCTTAAAGACTGAGTAAATAAGTTTACTTTTTGTGCAAGTAGTGGGATAATAATCTGTATTTATCCCAGTGCAAGTCACATAGAACATCATAGTTAAACTTGTTCTACAATCTGAGCCTGTAACTTCAAACTTTAGACATCAGGTGTGTTTTTGAGAATTGATACAGTATCTTATAAACATAACTCAAATTTTACACCCCTATATATTCTACTATTTCACACTTTGTTTGCATCTACTCTTGACTGACATCCTTGAGCCAGAGCTTGACTGATTTAAAGCTTCACAAGTCAAGAGCTACTGATGAGAAACTAGTTTTCATGACCCTCTTGTCAGCAATCAGTACCAGTGTTGTTTCATTGTTTGCAAACCCGTTAAACTTTCCTTCCTCTTGTGTCCCAGGTCGGATTTTCCCATGGGGAAACAAGTTCCAGGCCAACCGTACCAACCTGTGGCAGGTCAGCCAACGACAATAATGCATGTTAATGTGTGAGAGTTTTCCTTTAAATTCTGCAGATAGTTGTGACTTTATTGAGCTACAATTTCAGTTGCGACAAGTTTTAAACAATATAAGACCTTTCTAAATTAAATGAATGATTTATGATTTGACTAAAACGTAATTAACAGAAATACTAAGAATGTTGCAAAATGTGTTTGGTTTAACATACTCTTTAAATTAGTGAATGCCAACAGATATTGAAGATATATTGTCATGGTTTCTCCTAAAACATATGGTTATGTAATTGCTTGTGACATTTGTAAACACATGCCTTATAAGAACTTAAATATCTTTATGTTTTAGGGATCCTTTCCAGACGGAGACACGGCAGAGGACGGTTACCATGGCGTCTCTCCTGTCACAGCATTTCCTCCTCAGAACAGTTATGGTAACTCTCCCTGTTAAATTAACCTTATTGAGATTATACAAGATGAGAAGTGCTACATTGTCCCAGAGATGTCTTTTAATTTAAAACAATAGATGTGACAGAAAGGTTAAAACAGATGTTGATTCTTCCGGCAGGGCTGTATGACATGATGGGGAACACTTGGGAATGGACCTCCACACCCTTTCCTGCAGCACAGCCACATTTTGTCCTGCGAGGCGGCTCCTGGATCGACACGCTGGACGGCTCAGCCAATCATAAGGCGCGAATCACAACAAGGTATGTTTTATAAAATTTTAAATAAAATCATTTTTTAGTATGGCCTTCTGACTGATGTGTGTGTGTGTGTGTGTGTGTGTGTGTGTGTGTGTGTGTGTGTGTTGTGTGTGTGTGTGTGTGTGTGTGTGTGTGTGTGTGTGTGTGTGTGTGTGTGTGTGTGTGTGTGTGTGTGTGTGTGTGTGTGTGTGTGTGTGTGTGTGTGTGTGTGTGTGTGTGTGTGTGTGTGTGTGTGTGTGTGTGTGTGTGTGTGTGTGTGTGTGTGTGTGTGTGTGGGTGTGTGTGTGTGTGTGTGTGTGTGTGTGTGTGTGTGTGTGTGTGTGTGTGTGTGTGTGTGTGTGTGTGTGTGTGTGTGTGTGTGTGTGTGTGTGTGTGTGTGTGTGTGTGTGTGTGTGTGTGTGTGTGTGTGTGTGTGTGTGTGTGTGTGTGTGTGTGTGTGTGTGTGTGTGTGTGTGTGTGTGTGTGTGTGTGTGTGTGTGTGTGTGTGTGTGTGTGTGTGTGTGTGTGTGTGTGTGTGTGTGTGTGTGTGTGTGTGTGTGCTGCAGGATGGGCAACACTCCGGACTCTGCCTCTGACAACCTGGGATTCAGGTGTGCCTGATGATGATGGAGAGAAACAAGGGAAGAAAAAAGACAAAACTGAACTGTAGCAACACAGGAAATACAAAGTGAAGGATACAAAAGTTCTTAGGAATCAAACAGAGAAGAAGGAAAAAAACAAGGGACCAATCAGGTATCAATGACTTACAGTGAATTTTAATAAATGGTGATGGAGATAGGAGTGTAGAATCAAACTGTATTTCTCCTATGGAGAACTTAGCTTTTTTACAAAAAATAACATACCTTACATCCAAGAAATAAAAAAAATGGAAAGAAAGAAAAGTTTCTTGTAGCTTTTTTGCTATAACGTATGGATTTACTGGCTTGACTGCAGATTCTTGTTGCTCGTGGACTCATTTCACTGACTGGAGAAAGAGGACACTTCCTTTCACACGCTGGCGTCTGTTTTGGTGAGCATGTGACTGGAGAGTAAATGAGTCCATGGGATAAATCTCAGTGTCCTATAATCCTGTCTTTGTCTGTTTTCTTTCTCATCACAAGAGGACAGCTTAGTGGTTGTTTGGACTCAATCTGTTCAACCTCGCATATTTTTGTGTCTAAACTCCACTTTTATTTTAGTATCAAAGAACTGTGTAAAGCAAACAAATGGACCACTACTGATTACACAATCCAGAGTGTGTGGATTTAAATATGTTTTAGTGTTAATAGTTTGTTAGAATAATTTCATTGCCAACATCTTTTTTTAATTATATTTATATCAACAAATGTACCAGCATCTGTTATTGTAGTGTTTATTCCTTGGGCAAATCAGTGTTTTGGTTCTATTTGCCATTTTTACATAGACAACATTTTTATTGTGCCCAAAGAAACTTGTGCAAACTTGACTTAAAGTAGTTTCATAGATTCGTTCTCTTTTTGATACAATATCTTGCAGGATTTTGTATTTCTCTGTCTTGTTAATATCTATTCTTTACAATACTGAAACAAGAGAAAGTTTCCCACTGACTTTTTTTAAGTTCAACCTTTTTTTTTAGAATAAAATGGAAGTTATTGTAGATGATAGAAGAATAACAACAGTTTTACGTGTGTGTGTGTGTGTGTGTGTGTGTGTGTGTGTGTGTGTGTGTGTGTGTGTGTGTGTGTGTGTGTGTGTGTGTGTGTGTGTGTGTGTGTGTGTGTGTGTGTGTGTGTGTGTGTGTGTGTGTGTGTGTGTGTGTGTGTGTGTGTGTGTGTGTGTGTGTGTGTGTGTGTGTGTGTGTGTGTGTGTGTGTGTGTGTGTGTGTGTGTGTGTGTGTGTGTGTGTGTGTGTGTGTGTGTGTGTGTGTGTGTGTGTGTGTGTGTGTGTGTGTGTGTGTGTGTGTGTGTGTGTGTGTGTGTGTGTGTGTGTGTGTGTGGCAGAACAATATGTGGCCGTCTGAACAATGCCACTTATTTGCAGTATAATGACTCAACATAACGTTTGTTGTTGATCTTAAACCTTAAATTCAACTTGCATGTGAATAAAAGTAATAATATCCTCCTGGGCTACGGGGAAACAAAGACCAAGTATTCAGTTATAAAATGGGACGTGTTGATATGTCACTGCCTCGTCTCTGCTGATGAATCACAATATTTGTATTTTTGTATTTATATTTGTGCACTTACGAGGAATTTGATTCTTCTTTTTATTTGTTGCATCGCCCTCAATGTACCTACACAGAAATAGACGCAACTAGACACCAGCTGAACAAATAAAGGCAATAATAGACAGAATGAATAGATGGGTGTGAAATGAAATATCTATATACAAGTCCATTGCTAAGGAAACAAACAAGGATAGAAGGATGATTTATTGTCATGTAACAACACAGGGTTTGGAAACTCAAAGCAGTTCTATCATTCTGCTACATAAGAAAACCAAAAAACAAATTGCTATATTCTTGATGGAGCTTGGAGGAGTGTCACAGCTTGAGGAGAGAAGCTGCTCGGTAGTCTGGTCCTACTTCTGCTTCTCTTGCCAGACTGCAGCAGGATGGTTATTGTCCTTAATATCCTTTGGGCTTTTTCGCAGGAACCTTTTCACCCTAATATCGCTGAAGCTCGGTGGATGAGCACCAATGACAGACGGGCAGTTCTGATCACTCCCTGCAGAGCCCTCCTGTCCCAAGCACACCCCATGCCAGTTTGTATAGTTTCTGGTCAGGATGCTTTCTATTGATACTCCGTTAAAGTGAAGAATTTTACCTAAAATATTCTGCCAACTTTGTCAGGTTGTTTTGATGATTCCCAGAAACTTAAATCTGTTCAATAATAATACAAATAATAATACATTACATTTATAAAGTGCTTTTCCTGGTGCTCAAAGCGCTTACAATAGCTTCATGTCAGCTCCATAAATGTAAATAGGCTTGTGCTTTCAAGTTGACAAGTATCTTCTTGGTTTTGCATTGTTGTTGAAGTAGGTTGGTCTCTGAGTATACTTTATTATATTTTGTATTTTCTTTTCTCATTATGACGTCTCGTCTATTTTTGCATTCCGGCCAATCAGTGTTCTGTAAATTGTTAACTGTACAAGTAGTGCAGAGTAATACAACTATATACAGTAATGGATATACAACATGTACAATTTATATTGACAGTGACAGATGATCTACATGTTAAAAAAAATATATATATGCATGCTGGATATGTGTCACCAAAAAGTACCCTCTTAACTCAACAGGAAGGAAGGACTAATGGTGGTTTCCCCGAATAATTTCAACAGAAAAAATAATTCAGTGACTAAGAGAAGGAAGAAAAAAATGTAAGATAGAGATTCAATATCCTTTACTATCTCCAACCCTCTGCTCTGTATTTGCGTTGCTTAATAAAACAACGGTTTGAATCAGGTATCCTGCGTCAGGCCTTAATAATCTGAGTGGATAAAAAGGATCAAAAGACCTCCTCTATTTGTTCTCTATGCAGCTATGGTATGTTTGAACGTCATGTGTTTGTATAACCACTGAGAAGGAGCAAGAAACACACACGGCCGCCTGAAGCCACATCCTCCAGTGACATCACATCATGTCATGGCAAGAGACACACACCATTCAGGAAAAACTGGTTTGTAGACATTCTGTTTGTCACCCTCCCTCCTTTATTTTGGTTTTCCTCTTGCTCTTTGTTATTTATATTTAGTCTGACAGTATCGTCGGAGGGTGTAACTGACTTCTCCCTCTGACTTCTACCAAGCAGACCATGAACCATGCTCAGCCTTTCTCAGTCCTGAACGAGCGGCTGAGGCCTTCTTCTAACACCAGCACTCAGCTCTACTCCTCGCTGAACAGAATGGAGGACAGACAGATGGGCTCGCTCAGCCGCAGAAACCCATTTTACCGACCCACAGTCGTGCCAACAGAACCAAAAGCCTCCTTGATCCAAACAGAACCAAAAGCCTCCTTGATCCAAACAGAACCAAAAGCCTCCTTGATCCAAACAGAACCAGTAGCCTCCTTGATCCAAACAGAACCAAAAGCCTCCTTGATCCAAACAGAACCAAAAGCCTCCTTGATCCAAACAGAACCAGAAGCCTCCTTGACCCAAACAGAACCAGAAGACCCGGAGGAGCCTGAAAGCACCTCAGAGGACGGAGATCAGGTCTCTGATGAAGGGACTTTTGCAGACGTGTTGAAAAACTCCTTCCTTATCAATGAGTTAAACTTATCAGATTTTGGAGAAGATGAACCGGGTGATGAGGACAGAAGCGCCTCCTCTTTTGAGAAGGAAGACCAACCAGGGGAGCTGAACTCAGAGGGGACCGGGGACTCAGAGTCAGTGTCCTTGGACGATGAAGGCAGGAGACCTTTTCAGAGCAGCTACATAAATGGAGCTTTACCAGACCTGATCAACGGTGGCAGGCCGCTCAACAGGCGCCGGACACTGGGACACGTCTCAGACACGGTAGGATAACACATTTCATATACGCCTGTCTAATTGAATAAGAGAAAGGTTGTTGGTTTCCTGGTAAACATTCTTTGACAGTGCATGCATTTGAAATTCATACTTCAAGTCTTGTCAGACAACTAAACCTGTTATACTGGGAGGAGTCCCAACAGTCACAGAGGAGTTGACTAAACACAACAGCACATAATTAAAGATGAGAAGTTGTTCCCAAGAAATCAAAAACTACAACATAACTGATCAGAATCAGTGTGATGCTCTGACGTCAGATCACAGTTAACTTCTGTTTGCATAGAACTTTTATGATTTTACAGCAGAGGATGGCAGGGTTTGATTTGTGGTTATGAGTGTAACGATGGAAACAGTGTTGCTAGGAAATGCTTTATGCCTCTAACATAAAGTTCAAAACGTCCATTACTTATCTTGATGTGTCTTTGAGTTTCTATGAATGCAATCATTTGTGCATATTTGCAGTGTTTGCAAGTGATGAATAACTTCCGAGCCGGTACGACTAGATTTATTGTCCACAGTCTCACCCAGGAATCTAGATAAGCAGTATCTGTTTACACTGAGTAGAAATGTCACATGGTTGTACTTTCTGGGTGCGGGCCTTTAATGATCTAAACAGCAACATGTGGGGACTTGTAATAAATGTTCTGGTGTGATTTTTTAACTGTTTGCAGCTAAAAGAAGTGCGAAGAGAGGTGGAGCTGTCCCGGAGAAGAAGTATCAAGCTGAAGGCGCAGGTGGACAAACTCCAGGAGAGCAGAGAGGGGCCGGGATGGAGCCAGCACAGAGAGAAGGTGAAGCCCACACACAGCACCAGGGCGTCCTTTACATTAGTGGTTACCAAATTGGGGGCGCCAAAGATCGCAGGGGGGGCGCCAGGCCTCAGATGATTTGAGGCCAAATATCATATTTAGACTTTTTTTTTTTTTATATATCTTTTTTTTTTTACATATAATAACGCAATACATGATTGTCACTAAAAGCCTTGTCTCTACATTACAATAAAATATAAAAAATAATTGATTAATTAATTTGAATAACTTCCAACAGGAGTCATTTGGGGGGGCTCTCGGGGAAAAAGGTTGGGAACCCCTGCTTTACATCAACACAACTCTGCAGGTTTCTTATTAATATTTCTGTTTATTCCTACTCCAGGTCACAGAGGAGGTTCAGTCAATCCTGAAGCTGCTGCGTCAGCTCACAGAGTCCGAGTCCAGCCCACCTGAACCCCCCCGTGGGACAAACCGTCTAGATGCTTCTCTGGCCCAGCTGCAGACAGTAGCCTGCAAACTGGCATTGAGCCACAACAAACAGGTAGGGCAGCCCCCATTGAGATAAAGCTCCTCACCCTTATCACGTTACATAGCTATGATTTAGTTGATTGTAGGCTAGCTGGTATGTTATCTGGATGAATGTTTGCTTTGTACATACAAGGGAAACGATAAGGAAAGGTGACTAAGAAATCACTGAGTTTTGATTCTCAATTTCTATCAAAAATGTGGCTATACTAAAGAAATACTGCACCCCTAAAATGAATCTTGGTAAAACTATACTTCACCCTGTGTTGGCTTAAATACAAACTCCATGGTGATCAGAGGAAGAGCAACTTCTTAATGAATCTAAGTAAATGGGGGGTGCGTTCAACCACACCAAAACGATTTGAAAACTTCTGTGTACAAACTCTTACACTATGCAGTATAATCAAAGTTTAATTTATCCATTTGTATGCTAATTGATTCACAAACATTGCATGCATTCCAAAAAAGGTACTATTTACACCTATTTGCAGGTGCGCTACTTATCTGTGCAAGTACAGCTTATACATACTGTATGTGTTTTAAATATTAGGGTTTTGGCAGAAAGGCATGTGTTAAGATATATACATACAAAATTAGAATGAGATCATTCTACATTGATTACACCCCCCATTCCCTTCGATTCAACAAGAATGTACTAAATTCTCTGAGTGAGGTGTTCATTAACAAATACATAGAGGTTCAAAGAGATAGTGGCATCTTAAGTATTCACCTGCCAATTCCAGAAGACTCTTCAAAATGCAATTGGCAATGCAGCAAATAATTTATATCGTCAAGAAGGGAGTTAATGAACTACAAGCCTTAAATAATCCCTGAAGCGCGTTCATAGACTTCCCAGCTGACGCAGGAGGCACACATTCCCAGCAGATGAGGCACCTTCCTCATTGTTAAAGTGTCGCCGCTCAGCTATGTGGCCTGACAGGTTTACAAGTGACAGTTAACCTGATCTCAGCCATCTTTTACTGCATGGTAGAGAAATACACCAGTCTTTTTCTTCAGTTTTGTGACTGATGGTGCCATTATATAAAATTATTGTTAAAACATAAAAGAGAGTGAAGTCAGGGAGGTTAGAGGAAGATAATACAACATTGTGACAAAACTTAACCTATATCCCTTGTTTTTGTTCATTTTAAAGTTCAAATCTGGAAATGGAAAAGGATCAGAGGAAAGCGCTATCCTGCAGCAGGCGTTACGGGACAGAGACGACGCCATAGAGAAGTGAGTACACACACAAATGAATCCAGATTCAAGTGGAAAAATGGAAGCTGAAAAACATGAATCTATTTTGAGAAATGTGTCATTCTTTCGGTTCCGCTTTGCAGGAAAAAGGCGATGGAGGCCGAGCTGCTGCGAAGTAAAACGGACTTGATGTTGCTGAACAACCAGCTGCTGGAGGCCGTGCAGAAACGCCTGGAGCAGTCACTGGAGCTCGAGAACTGGAAGGTAAACACTACCAAGAGTTGGACAACAACAGCCAATAATATGCTAAGGGAAGACGTATCATGGAACAAATTGAGCCATGATGAGCAAATGGAAAGACACACATATCATTAGTGTTAAACATGTTACTATTAGGACTTCAAACATGTTCAGCTGTAAAATACACACAAAACAAACTGCAATTAATGTGCAATTAACACATTTCATTCAGTACATGCAGAGTGTGCAGGCGTTACTGCCAGCTGGTTTCCTGCCACAGTGATTTGGGCCCGGGCCCATGTGTTCAGTGCCTGGTGTTCTGCAGGGTTAAACGGTCAATCTGATACTACACTGCTCTGTGGTATCCAGTTTAACTTCCCTGTACACTTGGAGTACAAACAGATTTCAACTAGCCAACTCAAATATTGAAATAAACAAATAACTAAGAAAGTGTTAAATTAATACAATTATATTACCACTGTTACAATATTCATAAAGGTAAAATCCTTCTCTGGATGATTGGATTCCATTGTGTTTTTAATGTAAACCTACCAATAACTTAACCAAAATCAACTTTAAGAAAAGTAACCAAATCACATACAATTGTATGTCACATTATCCTATTGTTTTCTATTTAATAAAATACCATCTTTTTACTTCTCACACATTTGTTAAGGCATAATAGACAATAACTTCCTGAGGATCTTGTATGTCATACTTTACAATTCTTTTGACTTTTTCTTACCATACTTCTATTTTTGCCACAATCTTTTTTTAAACATAATATACAATTGACTCTTTATAACATACTATACTATTACTTTTTTAAATATTTAAATAACATACACAGCTACGACTTTTGGTATACAAACTTGAATGAGATACTTAACCATTTCTATGTAGATTTTAGGTTGTAGGTAAAGTCTGTATTCCTCGTGCTCTGACAGCCTGTGTTTGCTCTGTCTCAGGAGGACGTCCAGCAGATGCTCCACCAGCAGCTGCAGGCCCAGCAGCAGGCGGAGGCCCAGAAGAAGCCCTCCCGCCTGGGCATCCTGAGGAGGAGCAACAAACCACCCATCCAGCGGCCGAACAACTTCCCCATGTCTACGCCCGTCCCTCCCACAACCAACTCCAAACAAATCTTCGTCCCCAGATCTGGCGTTTCCACGGCTCCCAGCACGCCGCCCCCCCTACGCCACTGGATGGACAAGCTGAGGAGGCCGAAGAGCAGCCGCCATGAGCCGGACGCAGTGGAGCCGCAGCCCGAGGGCGACAAAGGTTTCCAGGTTGTTTCACTTGATTAAAACAGGGATGACTTTCTACTGTACTTTCATTCTGATGCTCAAAATGTGTGGCTTATCATCACTGTTGTATGAAAACATGCTTTGGATCTTTGAGTCATGTATGTATAAAATGTAAATGTGATCATAAACGAGCCATGTCATTGATAATATTGTAACACTTAAATGCTTTACTCTTAATTTCCTGAATATCCTTGTTATTTTGTAAATACATCTATTTCTTAAGCAAAGGCTCCTCCAAACCTGCTGCCGAGTCAAACTGCAGTTTATTTGCCACCTCATCACTTTAAATGCTGCATTGTCTGCACTTTAGCTAGTTGCATTTTCAAGATTAAAGGAAAAAAAGAAACACTTTGTTGCAGATTTGTCATTTTATTGTAGGATTTGAGTCTGTACACTTTCAATAATATATATATAGACTTTATGCTTCATGCGTCTGTTTGTTGCCCAAAAGTGGTACAGTCTAGAATAGATCAGTGGTTCCCAAACGGTGTGCCGTGGGATTTTGTGACAACCATACGTTATTATTGCAATACACAATTACACAAAAATAATTATTTTTTAATTTACTATATCAGTACTTTGTATGTTTATATGTACGTAATGTGCGCGACTTGCGTGTCCACATCTCCACGTGCAGTGCTGCATAAACATGGCTGAGTCAGCGATAACTTTCCAGGGGTGGAGGTATGCCCATTATTTTGAGTTTGTCCGAAGAATAGACAGGAATGTGACGGTGAGGTGCAAACTGTGTCCAGGCCAGAAGCTGTTATCCACTGCTGGAAACACCACGTCAAACCTCAACAAACACCTGCAAAGAACACATGCTTTTTTGTTTCACGTAGTCTGTTCTTCTTCTCTGTTTTCCGGTTGTTGCCTGTTTTGAATGACAAATACACACTACCGCCGCCTGCTGGTAAGGAAAGTTATTGCCACTCACGCATGCGCAGTTCGTACGTGCTCGGCGAGTCAAGTAACGAGTTACTTTATGTAGATAGTAAAGAAGTAGTGTAATACATTACTTTAAAAAAAAAGTAATATGTAATATATTACATTTTTTTAGTAACGACCCCATCTCTGGAGTTGCCGTTCTTTACATGAAGAACAGGATGTCACGGCTCTCTGTTGAACAGGACTTGCGAGTGGCCCTCTCCTCAGTGCCACCAAGGATTAAAACATTCTGCGCGCCCCGACAGGCACATGTATCTCACTAATTTGTAAATCGGCAAAAAATATTTCCAATAGCACATGTCTCAATGCTGATTGCTGAAATGTTACATTTATAATTTGTAGTTCAGGACCATGGACAATGCAGCGTCCTTGCATTGACAGTTCTCTGTGCTGAATTTCTGCTGAGTTTCCTTTGCCTCATTTTTAATGTTGTGACCTGTCTGGTTTAAATGAGTGTGTTGCTGCTTTGATGAAGCCTAATTTGATAAAGTTTCAAATTAATTTCTGAAATATTTCGTTAATAAATATTTCATGAGTAATATAGTTGTCTTTGTCACATTTTATTTGGCATTAGTAAATAATTATGCACATTTACAGATATTTTACATGATATGAGTGATAACACGTGTTATAAGGGCTATTTTGCACAATAGGTGTGCCTTGAGATTTTTACTTGTCCTTTGGTGTGCCTTGGGCACAACAAGTTTGGGAACCACTGGTCTAGATAATGTCATATTTTAAATAAATGTGGACAAGGAGTATATATATATATATATATATATATATACACTCCTTGTCCACATTTATTACAAGGAGCATATATATATATATATATATATATATATACTCCTTGTCCACATTTATTTAAAATATGACATTATCTAGACTGTACCACTTTTGGGCAACAAACAGACGCATGAAGCACAAAGTTACACCTGATGACAAGAGAAAAGGCATGCTCGAAGTAAAACAATATACAATCCTGCAGATGATTACAGTCTTCAAACTTTTCAATGTGATTACATGAATTCACTTTTATATTGTTGACACAGAGTTCCCTCTTAAAAGATCTTTGTCCAACAGTAAAGCTACAGAAGCTGAAGCAGGGCCCGATTCAAAGGTCAGGGGACCCCCTCCTCGACAATCTATTCATATTGTGCAACAGGAAAACTCTGTCCTGGTTGAGGAGGAAGAGGGGGGGCTCTCTTCTAACTGGAGCTTTGTAAAAGGAACCAAATGAGGAGAGTTTCACTTAAATAAATTCTGATTATTTTCTGACTTCTGTTTTCACATCAAACGGACATAAAACACTGATTTAAACATCTAGCGGAATGAAGGGACATCGGTTACGATCCTTGTGAGAGAATTCACACAAAACTGGCAAACCAGCTGCCAATCTAAAGTCTGCTAGTTGTAATTGTAGAATAAAATATTTTGTATTTCTTACCAAGTTTTAGAGAAATAGAGAAAAGCAGCTTTTGACAAAAGAGGCACAGATTTACAACACCCTATTCATTAAGATGGCAGTTTCACTACTGGACCATAACGCTCAAACCCATGAAAACAGAACTTATATTAACACTAGTACGATTAGATAACATACATTGCTGCAGCATATATTTGTAAGATACCCATTTAGCGCCTTGGCTGTAAAGATGAGCGAGACACGGATAATAACTCAGCAAAACATGTTTCATTAAAACACTGATGGACTAACTGAATACACAACGACATTATCATGGCTTATTGCCAGACTGATAGGAGAATAGTTTACATTGTTAATAATTAGCATATCCTATAAATACTATAACCTGAGATATTCAGGAAACAGATTGTGACAGTTCTGCATTTATATGTTTCAGCTTGGTTTTCATGGATGATAATCTTGATAAAAATATAACCAGCGCTCTCGGTGTACTCGAGTTGTGGCAAAGTCAATGAAATGTAAATCCTCATCTCTGACAGAGCAGATACAGAGGATGTGAGAAATAAAGATCCGGAACAATATATTGTATATATCACTCTTATCAACATTAAAATCAGTTTCTACAACAAAGCACCTGTACACGAAGTCTGCATTACAGCCTCTTTGCAGAGCTCTGACCTTCTGACATGATACCAAACTCTCGTGCAAAAATCCCCCAAAACTTTTGCTTTGCACATTCCTCACTCAGCTGCCCCCGTAAACAGTATGCATTTCATTCCAGTGCTGTCAAAACGTTCACATCCAACCCCCTGACTGCTGGTCCACTTCAGCATTCCCTGGTTAATGTCGGCCCAACACCACTTCGCTATTGTACTGGCATGTTAATGTTTCAACATCAAGAAAGCAGTGTGCAACGTTTCTTTGGATTAGTACATTAACTCTAGAACAGCCCTGTTATGTTATATATTGTCTACCTACTGACCAGAAAACCAATGAAAACACATCTAGAAACACTACCTGACTGGCAGAGACTAAACTAAAGAAAAGTTCACCTTTGCTACGCTTCACTAGAATTGTTTAAAGGACTGACTGTTGTAAAAGGGCGAGTTTGGTCCAGTGTTGGCAAATAATAGCATCATCAACAACTCCTTCTGCTGCTGAATACTAACCGTCATTTTCACGCTCAGGGGTGCGTTAAAAAGTTCTGAGGTGTAGGCAGGAGGCAGCTAGGACTGGAGGAAGGAGCTGACGGAGCTGATGAAATCTAAAGGTTTATCTGCGTGGATCCAGTGGCTCGCATCTGGGATGTACTGGATGTCAGCGTTAGGGAACAGCCTCTGGATTTCTGGGTAATCGTCAGAGCTGGATCAGGGGTTACAGAGACATAGGAATTAGAATATCAGGTAAAACAGGATGGTGTGAAGCACAAGAGACAAGAGGAGGATGGCCACAAAACAGAAACGGGTTAATTGAGTGATTTATGATGTTATCTGAGTGAGATGTCTTTCCTCATGATTTTACCTAGTCAAATTATACATTTGTGAGATTTGTTTTTTCTATTTATTGCAGATGTAAAGAGTATTTATTTATAGGGATACAGCCAATGGCTATCCAGTTTGATCATCTGTTTTAGATCATCAATCTCATATATGTATACACATACATCATGTTATGTCCATTTGATGCTGCTTGTGCTTTAAGAAGATCTGATTGATGGAGATGTTGCACAGCAACACTACATATAAAAACATTATGTAAGTACAAGAACGGTTTGATCGTTGGGATTTCAATCCGGAATAAGTTAAATATAAGGTTAATATAAAGACAAGGCTCAAAGATATGGATCTGCCGGTATATAATAAACCTCAGCGCAATAACTAGGTTGTTTAGACATATTCTTTTTGAAAAAGCAAATCATGCAAAAGTCCGTTCAGGACCAAGATCTGGAAGTAAGCTATTACCACTATAATATGTAGCATTTTCAGTACTCTCTGCTTATGCATCTGCTCATACAAAAAATAAAATGTCTGGGTCTATTTTACCTGATATAAGCAGAGCTGGCTCCACCCAAAAACAATGTTGGTCCATCATAGACGGTGTCGAAGCTGGGGAAACTCATGATGTCCTCAAGGTGCGCCGAGATGGACTCCAGGTTGACCCTCCAGGCGTAGTGTCCGTTCTGCTCCACCAGGTTAGTCAGCAGGAACTGACGCACCGAGCGCTCCTGAGGGATGGACAGTTGATTATGATCACTGGTTCAGAGTTTGACCTTGAATAAATATTCCTGCATTTTAGACTAACATTCACCAGGAGGACTATTAACTAGTCACTTTCAAGTTTGCAATGCCAAATCAGTTATTATTTACTGCAAGATAAAATATCAGATACAGGAAATGACATTGACACTTACACAAGAGATTACATTCCAAGATAATTTGATTAAAGAAAGATTGACCATCTATGTATTTCAAACAGTGAGTAGTGTGAAATCAAAAAGGGATTCCTGACCTTGACCAAACTGCGCAGCTGATCCTCGGCCATCCGCCTGGCGGTGGAGCGCGGGATGTCGCTGGAGATCTTCACTTCCTGCATGGCCTTGATGTAATACCGGAAGTTGGTACGTGTGGAGGTCTGGGCTGGACTGATGTCCACCACCACCAGCCTCTCCACTAAACCAGCCTACAAACAGACACATAGATTGGGGTTAACACACATTTTAAATTGAGTTTTCCTATACTACAGCTTTTTTCTGATTTCTCTTGATGGCATACTATACAATATTTTTGTAAGATGTTTTGAAGACAAAGGCTTATATGCTATGACAGTTTGTATGATGATTTATGGCATACTATACTATGACCATTTGTATTATTATTTTATACTATAACAATTGTCATGGCCTAGTATACCAGGGCTTAACAATAAGGATTACCTGGGGAAAGTACAATGGCATGTCGGGCTTGTAAAGTGTACAGAAAGATTTGAACATATTCAGATTTTTTTTCAGAGCTGCTGATGTATGTAACTAAGGAGTGAGCCATCTTACTTATCTCACCTCTTTTAATATCTGCACATGTGCTGTACTAATATTATTAACAATTATACACCCTAAAAATAAAACAATTGATATGGCAGCTAGTACAAATTGACCTTGTGCAACCCGGAACAAGGAGGAAAAGAGATATTATAGTCGGGAAACCAATGACAAAAAGTAAACATGACAGCTAGGTGTGGCAGGAACTACAGAAGATTATAAAGTTGAGAGGACAGGAATGTAGAGTGAGAAAGGTCAAAAGATATCCAGAAAAAGGTCTGTTAGAGTCACCATTAAATCACGGTGACATTTACCAGCTGCTCACCTGTGTCAGAGCGGTCGTCATGGCAGTTTTTCCTCCCATGCTGTGGCCAATCAGGACGCATTTTTCAATGTGAAGCTGAGCGAGGAGGTGCTTCAAATCCTCGGCCATCGCTTCATAGTTCAGCTCCGGGCTGTGAGGGCTGTTACCGTGGTTACGGGCATCTACAGTCAGCACCTATCTGGACAAAGGACAATTAGGAGACTTGAAAAAAGTCAGAGCAGAAACAAAGAAACTTTTATGTCAGCTGCATCTGGTTTTTTTTGGCTCCAGCCTCCAGCTCAGGCAAGGGCATAACCAAAGGCCTTATTGTGTAAATGAGGTGAAGAGATACTTAAAGAACGCCAAAGAGCAGATTATTTATTAACATAGTACAGACTGCTGGAGTTGTATCAAATGACTGGCAGCACACTGTTTGATTGTGTACTCCATTGCCTGCTTTTGTAAGAGGGCCATTGTCAGGCTGCTGAGAACCAACTCAAACACATAAAGGGAAACTGTTTTTGGTGTAACAACAGACAAGTGTGATGTCTTCATCACTGCATTACCTTTCGACCTGTGCGCTGCACCAAGGACTTGGCTATTGAGTGGAAGTTAGATTTGCTGCCAAAAAGGCCGTGCAGAAACACCAGGGGAGTGCTCTCTCCCTTCCCATCGAAGACATCATAGGTCAAGTTGACGGGGCTGGGGAAGAAAAACATCCTTGTTGATTAGATAGAAAACAATTAATTTTGAGAATCATGTCAGGAACGGTAATAGATCGTTATACAATTTTGCAAACTTATGAAACTGTCATGGAGAGGTCTAATAGACCCATTCAACCAGAAAGAGGTTTTGGCAACATTGTTTAGTGACTTGTTGCTTGTTTATTTTAACTGATTTGCTTCCACCTACTAGTACAACACAATGTAAGCATACGTGAACAATTACGTTGCTTTTTGCAGGTTTACGTTTTTTTTTTATATACAAACAGAATATTTGACTGGACATTTATTCTAATATGAAAATGTACGATAAAAATGTCCTTGACTTCAAATGTGCCACTGTAGCTGTTAACATAAGGGTATACAGGGAGAACACACAACTACATACAATATTCACATTAAAGAAGATAGAACCATAAAACATTTGGCCAACTTGTTTGTTAAAATGGCTTTAAATATACTCCCAACAATGTAATTTTCTATTGATCAACTAACTGATTAATCAGCTTATCGTTTTAACTCAAAAATGTAACACTTTACTGGCATAATTCAGTCTTTGTTGTAACTACACTGAAAAAAAATATAAATGCAACACTTTTGTTTTTGCTCCCATTTTTCATGAGATGAACTCAAAGATCTAAAACATTTTCTATACACAAAATAACCATTTCTCTCAAATATTGTTCACAAATCTGAAAAAATCTGTGATAGTAAGCACTTCTCCTTTGCCGAGATAATCCATCCCACCTCACAGGTGTGGCATATCAAGATGCTGATTAGACAGCATGATTATTGCACAGGTGTGCCTTAGGCTGGCCACAATAAAAGGCCACTCTGAAACGTGCAGTTTTGCTTTATTGGGGGGGTCTGGGGGGGTCCGAAAACCAGTCAGTATCTGGTGTGACCACCATTTGCCTCACGCAGTGCAACACATCTCCTTCGCATAGAGTTGATCAGGTTGTTGATTGTGGCCTGTGGAATGTTGGTCCACTCCTCTTCAATGGCTGTGCGAAGTTGCTGGATATTGGCAGGAACTGGAACACGCTGTCGTATACGCCGATCCAGAGCATCCCAAACATGCTCAATGGGTGACATGTCCGGTGAGTATGCTCGCCATGCAAGAACTGGGATGTTTTCAGCCTCCAGGAATTGTGTACAGATCCTTGCAAGATGGGGCCGTGCATTATCATGCTGCAACATGAGGTGATGGTCGTGGATGAATGGCACAACAATGGGCCTCAGGATCTCGTCACGGTATCTCTGTGCATTCACAATGCCATCAATAAAATGCACCTGTGTTCGTCGTCCATAACATACGCCTGCCCATACCATAACCCCACCACCACGGGCCACTCGATTCACAACATTGACATCAGAAAACCGCTCACCCACACGACGCCACACACGCTGTCTGCCATCTGCCCTGAACAGTGAAAACCGGGATTCATCCGTGAAGAGAACACCTCTCCAACGTGCCAGACGCCATCGAATGTGAACATTTGCCCACTCAAGTCGGGTACGACGACGAACCGGAGTCAGGTCGAGACCCCGATGAGGACGACGAGCATGCAGATGAGCTTCCCTGAGACGGTTTCTGACAGTTTGTGCAGAAAGTCTTTGGTTATGCAAACCGATTGTTGCAGCAGCTGTCCGAGTGGCTGGTCTCAGACGATCTTGGAGGTGAACATGCTGGATGTGGAGGTCCTGGGCTGGTGTGGTTACACGTGGTCTGCGGTTGTGAGGCCGGTTGGATGTACTGCCAAATTCTCTGAAACGCCTTTGGAGACAGCTTATGGTAGAGAAATGAACATTCAATTAACGGGCAACAGCTCTGGTGGACATTCCTGCTGTCAGCATGCCAATTGCACGCTCTCTCAAAACTTCCGTCATCTGTGGCATTGTGCTGTGTGATAAAACTGAACATTTATAGAGTGGCCTTTTATTGTGGCCAGCCTAAGGCACACCTGTGCAATAATCATGCTGTCTAATCAGAATCTTGATATGCCACACCTGTGAGGTGGGATGGATTATCTCGGCAAAGGAGAAGTGCTCACTATCACAGATTTTTTCAGATTTGTGAACAATATTTGAGAGAAATGGCTATTTTGTGTATATAGAAAATGTTTTAGATCTTTGAGTTCATCTCATGAAAAATGGGAGCAAAAACAAAAGTGTTGCATTTATATTTTTGTTCAGGGTATATAATATCATTAGCTAAACCGATAGCCCTGCAATGAAGGTGCTAAAAGGCCTGTTTGGACGGAGATATATCGGTGTTTTTTAAATGTCTACCCCAGATGGAAATGATAGACCCACCTCTCAGTATAATACTGAAAGAATAATAGGTCATTAAGGTCATACCAATAAAGCTATTTGATTTGAATTGAGTTGAATAACATAAATAAAATAAAATGGTGTTTACAGTATAACGCAATACTACAGGCATTAACTTAAAACAATTCCATTATAAACCAGTTTTAACAAAAACGGTGTAATATTCATAAAAATGTGATCAATTAAAGGGGGTTGTGTTACATACACAACGACATTGTTAGCTTGGTTGACTAAACTGATAGCTTAGCTTGCAAGTAGCATAGCATACCATGGACTAAATAAACATGAAAGCAAATATAGTTTTAATTTAGCTACATAAATAAATAGGATAAAGCAGACAGCCGGAATATATATGATAATATCTCCACTGCAGGTTAACCCTCTTGCTAACCAGACGCCTGAATGTCATTTGAGTAAATAGTGTAAGTTAACGGTTTCTAAAGATAGAAAGATCAGACACGATGACAAAATACTACGATTGAATACCGGGCTGTTTTTAAAGAAACATTTGGGGTGTCATTTGCACCCAGCACCTCCTCCACACCACGCTACACGTAAGGCAGACAGAGGGCATCAGCTAGCCGGGAGCTAGCACTTACATACCTGGATGAGCTGGCTGCTCGGACCGGGAGAGCCGTACCGCTCACATCCTGCGGCTGAATGCCGAACAAACGACACGACAGCATACCCCTCTGGAACAGACGACAAAAAGCACTCATGGCAGCATATGCTCCGTTACCGAACCTCTCGACAAACAGCGTGTGCGTTAAACCATAGACTGCACAGACACGGTCACAGTTGCAGCGGAGAGTCCGTAGTGAGAGTGAGAGAAGCAAGGTCCGATTGAATGGAGGTTCTCTCCGTCAACAGCTGATGCTGCGTCGTGACGTAGCACGCACAAAAGAAATGCGTGTTCTTTCAGATTTTAATCTCTCAGTCAGGCTCCCTAAATATGACTTTATTTCTGATATTTTCCTTTTCTTTTTTGCCTGGAGACTGGGGTTGAGGACGAGCAATCAACTAGCGATTCAAGAGCGCATCGGAACGACGTACTCTAAGAAGGACTGCGCATGCGTCAAGGGCAGTAGTGTTTGGAATATGATTTGTTTGGAGTTTTTAGTATGTCGTTTTTAAGTTTGAGCCCCCAGTTAACAGGTGACACAATGCACTTGCTTTATCAATATATTTTGTATTGGAAACGACCCTGGACTTCACATGTTTTCAATGTAACTTGTGAAAGTGGATTTTTCTCTTTTACATCAATATACAATTATTTATCTTTCGTCTGAATACACTGTTTTTCTTTCAAATGTAGACCTTTATGCACTTTGCATCTTGGCAAAAAATAATGGGAAAAGGCAGCAACAGATGAATACATATGCACTTGTAGAGCCACTGGGTGGCGGCACAATGGCACAAAGTAAAACACACCATCAACAACACAATGAATTCCTCACTGCCCTGTCAGTGGCTCCCACTGTGAGAACAGCTCACAGTAGATGAACAGGTCATTTATTGTTTTGAACAAACAAGTCTATGGGGAAAAAACAAGAGGTTGTTTCGATTCATCAATGTTACCTTCACGAAGCTGCGGAGTCATTTTGGAAAACGTTAAAATACCATTGGAGTACGACTAGGCCTGCTGCATGTTATTTTCTACTGGATAGTTTACTGATTGCATTTTAAAACGTTTTGGATTATTTTGTATTGCTCTTATGTGTTCATGGCTCCTCTTATACAGGAACATAAAAACAACTCTTCAGTGTTTGGGTCTGGAGAGCTTGGCCTCCCCTGCCGCGTTTCCAAACACTCATCGCTATGGGAGATGAGTCTGCAGGGATAAAGCATGCTGTGAGCCGTCACCATAGTGACAGCATGAGACATAGGGAGATCACGGTACAGACCCGACTCAGGAAGAGATTATCGGTGGATGAGTGTGTACTTTTAATCACATTAAACATTGTTTCATAACTCCAGTTTTGTATTCAACACTCCCAACTCAATGATTGTCATGCTAACTTTTTACATCAATATTGTCCAATCTCAAGGGATGCCTTTATCTAAAATGAAAATGTTTAAAGTGACAATAATAACCATATTAACTGTTTAATCACACAATCACAAATACTATAATAAAATGCATAAAGATATCCATATTAATTTCAAATTGGAAAAAAGTCTATGCAGGGGAGAAGAAGGCCAGTTTTTTTTAAAATATCCTCCAATATTTAAACAAATAAATAATCCAATAGACATTGGTCAAATAAACAAAAAAAAGATAAAATGATTAAAAGACTGATGAAATACAGAACGTTTAACGTAACAATTGTCGAGATGGACGGGTCAAGACAATGTTGTTAGTGACAGTTTAAAAGTTAAGGTTGTTTTTCCATTTTACTTGAAAATGTTGAGAATTGTTATCATCCCTGCCCTTAGTACTATGGCTTTCCTTCTTTACTGTGTGACAAAGCTGAACTTCCAAACAGTCAACGTCAGCTCCTATTCATGCTACACAGGGCCGTTTCTAGCTTTTTGGGGGCCCTAGTTTTGACAGTTTTTTAACTACAATGGGGGGGATTCCGAAGCCTTTAAGATGATCTGTGGAGATGCATCAATCTGTTACACTTTAATAGGAAAACAGGCTAATTTCACGAAAACCAAGCAATTGAAAATTACAAAAAATGATATTAAAAAGGTAAACAATAAGGCTCCTCTATGTCAATAAATGCAAGAGATGCAGCATTTTCTCAGCTGTCAGCCCAACGATGATTTGGACTTTATTACCCCAAAAACCCAAGCCACAGCTTTGCTATCATTGCAGTTTAGTCGTGTTTATATCCTACATTGGATTTGTAAGCATATAATGCTTCACCGAACACTCACAGGAGGGGGCTTGGCTGTCTACAAATAAAGACGGCTCATTTTAATTCTCCCCAAATATATTGAGGCTGAACCTGAACTTTGAATTCTCTGCTCCCATCATAATCTTGGCGATCTTGTTAAAATTGTGAATGCAGAATTAGAAATACTATGTAAGCTGGTTTGCAGTTAATAAATTATCCCTTAATGTGGCCAAAACAAATTACATGTTATTCATTACAAAGTCTGAGAGTAGAAATGACTGCATTATACGGATTTGCAATACCGAGATTGAAAAAGTTGGTGTTTTTTAGGACTGCTTGTTGACGAAAAACTCAATTGGAAGCACCATATAAATTATGTACAGACTAAACTGTCAAAAACAATAGGTATTTTGTATCATACTAAGAACATTCTTGAAGACAATATACTCTTTATAACAGTCTATTTCTCCCTTACCTTTACTACTGCTCCGAAATATGGGGAAACACGTACTCAACAAATGTACAAAAAATAATAACATCCCAAAAAAAAGTATTACGAATAGTCTGTGGTGTTGGTAAATATGAACACACAACTCCCATATCTAAAAAAACTCAATATATTAAAATGTGTTGAGATAGTACAGCTTAAAACAGTACTGATTATGCACAACATTTTCCAAAACAAAATGCCTAATAACATTCAAAAGCAGTTCCAAACCACAGCGTGAACATATGAATGTAAAAAAAGTCACTTGAAAATAAGTGTTCACAATGTTTATATGCAATTATGCATATATTATTATTATTATTATTATTCATTTGCCAAGTGCCATGTCAGGGGTCTGCAACCTTTTTGACCAAAAGAGCCATTTTTTTCCTTTTTCCCAAAATATTTTTTGTCTGGAGCCGCAAAACATATTTCATAGTTTTTTATTGTTATATCAGACAAAAACTACAGTTTTTTTTGCATTTATTAGGCTATTTATTACATGATATAAAACTGTTAACCTCTAATAAGAAACAAAGAACTCTTATAATTCAATTTCTCTATCACCCAACATGTCACCTTCCCCACCCATGACAAAGGACACATTCTTGATCTCGTCTGTTCTACCAACCTCCCAGTGATTGACCTCCACCCTTGCCCATTTCCCCTCTCCGACCACAAACTCATACAATTCACCATTGCCCCCCCCCTCCCGAAACCCCTGCCCACCCAGAAACATCACCTTCCGTAATCTACACTCCATTGACCATAACCATCTCTCCGAACTGCTATCGTCTAATCTCCCCCTGGACGCAACCCTCAGCTCACCTGATGATCTGCTCAACCACCTCAACTCCACCCTACTCACCTCCCTCAAAAATAAAACTGTTACTTTCAAGACCTCCTCACCCTGGTTCACACCCGTACTGCGTAAAATGAAGCAGCGAGGCCGCCAACTTGAACGTCTTTCAAAGAAATCATCCCTCACAGTCCATTACATAAGCTACAAAATCCATCTCAATGCATACAAAGATGCTCTTATTGCCGCTAAATCTGCCTACCTCTCCAACATCTTCACTGACCCCTTCCGTAACCCCAGGACCCTCTTCTCCACAGTTAACGAGCTCTTCAAAGCCCGTGCTGATAACCTCCCTACTTCTACTTCCGCTACTTGCAACTCATTCCTCCAGTTTTTCGCAGACAAAATGAACGCCATTAACCACTCCTTCTCAGCTCCATCTGATATACAAGCATCTCCCCCAACCTCCACCGCTACCATTTCTCCCCCCATCTCCCTTGACCTCCTGACTCCTCCTCCCCAGTGCCGCCTCTCCCAGTTCAACCTGGTTACCCCACTTGAAATACTCCATCTGATCGGTTCCTCAAATCCCACAACCTGCTCCCTTGACCCTCTACCCACTCCTCTCCTGAAGTCCTACCTCCCCGTCCTCTGCCCCTATCTTGCTAACCTTTTCAACTCCTCGCTGTCCCATGGAACCGTCCCCTCTGCTTTCAAAACTGCTGCCGTTACTCCAATCCTCAAAAAACCTGGTCTTGATCCCTCCTCCCTCACTAATTACCGCCCCATCTCCAACCTACCATTCCTCTCAAAAACTCTTGAACGCATTGTAGCCAAACAAATTAACTGCCATCTCCAAACCAACCAGCTTTATGAACCCCTTCAGTCTGGATTTCGTCCTCACCACAGTACAGAAACTGCACTCGTCAAAGTCCTCAATGACCTCCTCACCTCTGCTGACACTGGTTCTCTCAATATTCTCATCCTCCTCGACCTGAGTGCAGCCTTCGATACCGTGAGCCACAACATCCTGCTCAGCCGACTCAGGGACATTGGTATTGAAGGTATTGCACTCAGATGGCTCCAGTCCTACCTCACTGAACGATCCCACTTCATCTCCCTCCCAAACCACTCCTCTGCCACAGCTTCAGTCACCCAAGGCGTTCCTCAAGGATCAGTACTTGGCCCCCTCCTCTTCATCATTTACATCCTCCCCCTCGGTCAGATACTCCGCCACTTCAACCCCGACTTCCACTGCTATGCTGATGACACTCAGATCTACCTCAGCACCAAATCCCTCCATAACCCACCCCTTACCCACATCGATTCCTGTCTGACAGCTATTAACATTTGGATGCAACATAACCTCCTCAAACTGAACAGCAACAAAACAGAACTCCTCCTAATCGGCTCCAAATCCACCCTCAGCAAGGTCACTAACATAACTCTCACCATCGATGGCACCATTGTTTCCCCCTCCAATCAGGCACGCAACCTTGGCGTAATCTTTGACCCCACCCTCGAACCTCACATCCGCCAAACAGTCAAAACCTCATTTTTCCACCTCCGCAATATTGCAAAAATCCTACCCTCTCTCACCCGCCTCGCAGCCGAACGACTAATCCATGCCTTCATTTCCTCCCGCCTTGACTACTGCAACTCACTTCTTTACGGGATCAGCACTACATCCCTCAACAGACTCCAACGGGTTCAAAATGCAGCTGCACGTCTCCTCACGCATACCAAATCATGGCATCACATCACCCCAGTCCTCAAAGACCTCCACTGGCTTCCTGTCTCCCATCGCATCAACTACAAAATTCTGGTCCTCACCTACAAAGCACTCCACCATCTGGCCCCCCCTTATCTCACAAACCTTCTCACTCCTTATCAA